CTAAATACACAACAAAATTTTTTTTACACTAACAAGGAAATTATTATTTGCTCAATCCATTTTCAGTAGAAACATCTAAGAAACTGTAAGGATTTTCCTTTCTTTGTACAGAAACCACCAGCTATCTTTTTGAAGAATATAACCCATGTAACTTGTGAAATTTAGTGAATGTACTTGCTAAAAAATAATTTTCTCAGAGTAAGAGGTCTGCTGACCTATCTTTACATATTATCTTAGTGTAACAGTTTTAAAGGAATTATTGTGGTGTGTGAAGAAAATAGCATGTGTGTAGTCACAGAGTCCCCATCTCTATTTTTACCAAGTTGTTTGTAATTATTCAGATTTGTTCCTGCCATTATTGAAGCTGTTCTTGGTCCATTCATAGCAACTCTAAAAGAAATGGCCAACAGGTCACTTGTTTACACCAGGCAGCCTGGAAAGCTGATAAGACTAAGGAAACTGTTGTTGGACCACCTATATTGCAAGGAAATTTGAGGTTGGTTAAAGTGTAATGTCTCTCTAAGGTGAAAAAGGCCAAGGATAGACCTAGGAAAGCTTTTCCTGTGTTGTGCTGGAGTTCTTCATGTTGTGTTCCAACTGACATATGAGAAAGGTGGAGGTTTTAGTAAAAGTAAAGTGTGATTTCATGCAGAAGCTATCTGATCCTGAATGAGTCATCCACAGTGTTTTAGTGTCCATGCTTTGCTACTTTTGAGTTTTCTGTCTTTTGTGCATTTATTTATTTTTCTGTACACTTTGGAACTTAATCCTTAGGCTTTAGTGTCTATATATAGGTATTTAAGCTGTTATAACAATAGAATTTTGTCAGAGCACTAACCACAGTGGGTTGAGTGGTCAGTAATGAAAGTTGGTCTGTGCTAATGGGGTGGATGAATTTGAGCACCAATTCATTAATTAATACATTAAGTGGATATTCATATTTTACTATTAATTTTCTTATTTTTATCAGTGATGCTGAGAAAAGTTTACTTGCATAGACAATTTTCATCAGTGCTGAAAGATTTCTCGTTTGGATTTTGCAAAATGAAAACATTTGGGTTGATCTTGGCTAGGCACTTTGCTTGTCTTTACTTCCTCTTCCATGATCTTGGAAAATACATGAAAAAACCCTTAATAGCATCCTGTCTTTTCTCTCTTCAGATCAAACAAAGTGGGAATTCCTCATTCTGTGAAAGGTGGCTTCTAAAAGCTTACTAAGGATAAGAGATGTGTCTTTATTGAATTGTTCCATATTCATATTCAAGAGGACCAGGTTCTCCTTTCCTAACCTTGAATTAATGGGCTTGTTCTAATTTAGGGAGCATGGGGCTTCATTTCCATCTGAACTCCAGACTTTCTAGGGAAAATGCTTTATGCATTAGAGCAAGAGGACCAACAAATAATTTGCAGAGGTGATATCCCTCGTGTTTCAGACAACACACACAATCCCCTAGGCTTTTCAGAGGATACCTGGATGTATTTGGAGGGTCTCTGTGTGCTGCTTGTGAATGTCAATGCAAATTAATTTTGGATAGCCAGCATCTGATGTTGCACTTCTGATCTTGCAGTGGGTGAGGTGCTGGGACAAGCCTGACATGCCACGACAAGTGGTCTGCAAAAGGTTCTAAGGTTCATCATGAAAATTGAAATCCTTCATAAATTTGCTGCAGCATTTACTTCATTTTCAACAAGCTGAATGCTGCAGTAACAACTTCCCTTCAAATACAGTGCAGTCAACTTTCTAGAGAAAAAAAAATAACAGGAATATTTCCCTTGCCCCCTTGTGTTTTGGACTGTCTCGTTAGCCATTTATGTGAGATCAATAAAACCTGCTGTAGGCCTAAACAGAACCACAAATATTACAAATTCATTTTCTCTTTTATTTTCCTTCTACACTTTAATTATCCACAAAACTGGCAGTATAAAATAGTTTATTAATTGGACAAAAAAACCTCATAATTGCAAAGGCAGTCATTCTGCCTCCCCTTCCATAAATCTGCATCGTTTACGTGGAGTTTAAACTTTGTCTCATCTCCTCTGTGGATGTTGCAGTCTTTTGGGCAGGAGAAAGGAGGGTGAGCTGGCCTGATGGAGGCAGGACTAGGGGAGCCTTTCACTGCAGCAAAGGAACATTGTGCTGGACCATGTGTGCATCCAGACGAGGTTATCAGGAGGAAGAACATTCCGTTATTCCCACTTAACTCCACAGCTTTGCCTTATCTCCTTGTTTCCGGCCTGAACAATAGGTTTAGTGTTCCTTGCTGAGAGCATGAAAACCCCTGCATTGAGCCTGATGGATGTGCTTCATGTGCTGTGAGAGGATGTTGCTCTCTTGAGGAAAAATGCCTTTAAAATTACTAAGTTGCTCTTGTACTGTCCTCAAAGGCAGAAGTGCCATAGTATTCTAATTCTTCATTGAGGAAAGGGATTATAGAAATTCAGGCTTAACATCTGAAAAATATTAAAGATGTGCTTTTCATCTCCATTGTAAGACCAAGATTTAAGAAAAATACAATGTAGTTTTTGTTGGAAAGAGTTAAATATATGAAAGCTTTTGATTTTAAAGGCAGCTAAATAAGTTCATCTCCGTACCTGGTCTAAGATATTGTTCTCTGTGATGTTTGATTCTTCAGTGAATACAGATTGATGGAGTGAAAAATTAGTTAATACTTATTTGCTGAAAATACGAAGATAATATTTGTATTCCATGTCACCTCTTGCTTGTACCTGCAAAACCTCTGTCACTCCTACTGTGCTGATGAGGTGCTGCTACCAGTGGGATGAGATAGAGCATCTTCTAATTTCCTGTCTTAGTGAATAAATACATTTGCAGCATCCCTGGCAAAGGCTGCCTCCTTCTCCAGGGATGGTAACAGTGGTCACAGGCTGCTGTGCTTGGAGAGGATGTGTCACCACCTCCCCCTGCACAGTCCCCAGCCCCGAGGTACCCACTGCTCAGTGCTGCTCTTGCTCCTCCTGTTATGTTGGACAGGTGTGGGGGTGTGTGCTGGGCTGTGCATCACTTTTTATCAGTGCTTTGTCACCAGTTTCTGGTTTCCCTCAGAGCCAGGATTAATGGAAACACAGCTGAGGTGATTCTTGTGTTTGGGCTTGGATGTTTGTTATATCTTATCAGAAATTACAGAAAGTATGACAGCACCTCCAGTTCCTTGGTAAAAGTGGGAAAAATGGCCCCAGCTGAGCCTGCTTCAAGGCCTTTTAAAGCCAAACAAACCAATAAAGGTTTAACACCTATATTATTTATCCTTTTGACCCAGTAATAGATTCCCACCACCCTTAGAGTGACATTAGACTGACCAACCAAAGGTCACGGCCTGAGTTCTGTGAAGAAGAAGATGAACAAAGAAGAAGACACCACCCAAAATTCTCCATCTTGTCCCATATCCACCAGTATTCTATAAAAACCTCAAATTTAAAACCCAGCACCCAGTGAAAACACACACATCTAACACACCACACATTTGTGATTTCTAACTCATTATTCAGATTTCCAAGCCTTCTCCAAGGTTTCAGCTCCAGAGCAGTGTTCTCCAGGGGGTCTGTGCCTGGAAGCACAGAAAGCTCAAAAACTCCAGATTTGTGGGATCCAACACACATCTACTTCTTAATCTGTTCCAGACTGAGGCAAAGATTTGTGTCTCGTGGTGTTGCTGATGGTTACTGATCTTGAGCTTTTCTTCAGAACACAAGTTTCTTCAGTGCTCTGAAAATGGGTATTTTCAGCTCATAAAGTAACAGGAATGTTATTGTTATGGGGAACACTCTGCATTGAGAGAATGTTTTTTGACAAGACTATTAATTAGCTTCTTAATATTTAAATGTATTGCCACTCTAATTGCTCTTAAATTTTAAACAAAGTATATATTGCATGGAATTGAATATGCACACTAACATTTCTAGGCATACCATAAAGAAACAAAAAAAAAAAAATCAGTAGGTTTTTTTCTAAAATCTTTAACACTCCTAGCCTGGCATTATTAAAAATTAAAATAGAAGAGTAATTTTGGAAAGTGAAGTGTGTGAGAAATTCTTGTGGTTGAGTTTTTGAGGACAAATCTGAGAACTTCTTCTCTTTTTAGCTGAAATTGTGAAAGCATTGATGCAGTGAATGTTGCAAGTATGACTGGGAGAATGACAAGTCTGAGCCAGAGAAGTTCAGGAAAGACTTCTCTGTTGGGTGATATCACAAAATGAGGAGAATTGCCATTATTCATTGCTTTTTGATGCATTAAAAAAAAAATTGCTCAAATAAGCATTATCTATTGACAAAGGAGATGAACCTTTTTTACTTCTATGTTTTGGACTGTGTAACACCTGATACACGTGGTCTTGGTACCTGTGTATTGGCATACATGACTTTTTTTTGACATAACTTCATTTCCTTGCTCATTCTTGCCTATGTTGGCCTGAAAATAAGATCTCCTTTTGTTTATTAGAAGCATTGTAGCCTTCATTCTTTAAGAAAAATTTAAAATTAATTTAAAGAGCAGTGAGTGTACATGAATACACACATACCATTAACCTTATTTAACTGTGAAGTGGATTCCTTCCTCCTCGGTCATTGTTGGCTTAACACTTTCTCTGGTTTTAAAGTTATGCTGTTTTCCATTAGCTGAGGATTTATCCAGGAATCATTTGTCCTTGCCTGTACTTTCTTCCTTAGTGCTACATATATTGTCCTTATTTGAGGAACGAAAAAACCAAAAAAAAACCTGTGAAAGCTTTGTTAAAAAGTGTTGAAGTGGCTTGTTCCTGATGAGGGAAACCCTTCATGAAGCTTATCTCAGGCATGAAGTATGAATGTTAGAAACATGGAGAGAACCCGACTTGAGGACAAAAGTACCCATGTAAATCACTGAAACGAAGAAATTCAAATCACAGCGCTTGATTTATAAACTACAGGAGAGCTGCAGGCTGGTTAGACTTACAAAAAAGAGAGAGAAGAGCCCACGGCCTGACATTGTTTTGTTTCTTTGCAGGAGTCAGAGAGTAATAAGTTATGTTCCCTATATTCCTTCCGAAATACCTCTACCTCACCAAACAAGCCCGACGAAGGAAGCCGCGACCGCGCCGAGCTCATGGCCAGCGCCAATTTTGGGACGCCCGAGCGCCGCAAGGGCAGCCTGGCAGATGTGGTGGACACACTGAAGCAGAAGAAACTCGAAGAAATGACCAGGACTGAGCAAGAAGGTATGATCTGCATAAAATGGATGCTGTTCCCCCCCCGCCACTTTCCCCACCCACAAATCCCGGAATTTTTTACGGCATAAAGGATGTGTTGGGTATTGAGGGCCGTAAAACTGCAAAATTGGCAAGGGCTGGGATAAAGTTATTCACGGGTTTCCATGGCAATGGTAGTTGGAGATCCATTAGGGGTTTTAGACAAAATGCTAGTTTTAAAAAAACTTTTTTAAAATTGGTTGTGAGTCAAAGCAAGAGTGTTGGATTTGGTGAAAACTCAAACTCTTGAGAGGTTATGATGAATTCTTAACTGGCTGTGGAGCTGTGAGGGATACTCTTCAGTTGTATTTGTCCTCCTTCTTTTAAAAGTTAAATGTTTATTTTTAACAATAGGGATGAATAAAACGTGAGCTGGTTTGTTTTGCCTTAGATATTTTCATCTTTCACCATTTTAATAACCCAGCATCTGTAACTAGGAGAATGGGAAACAGTTTTAAGTGTAAAAGTACATGATTCTGACCTATATAGCTAGAATTACAGAGGAAGAAATATCTTTTTGTTTTTTTTTTTTTTTTAACAGTCTCCTCAGACATTGTTACAAGTATTAAAACAGAGATAAAAACGAGGACAAATCTTTGAGTGCTAAGGCAGTTTATGTAGCCAGTCCTTATTCAGATACTTTCATCGATTTTGCAAAGACTTTGGCTACGGTAGGAAACAAACAGAATTGGAAAGTGACTTTGTCAGTGTATGTGTGCACACAGTCAGGGCCCACCATGAAAATTTCTCCCCTTGGTAAGTAGAATGAAATCTCACTTGGTTCTGCAACAATACCTTTTAGTCTGTGAGCTCATACATAAGATTGAATCGGGGAAGTTGTGAGAGCAGGAGGCTCTGAAATAGAAAAACAGGTGTGGAGGCATCTGTGTGGATTCTCTTAGATATTTTACCAGTTCTGTTTTGTGGCATTAAAAATAACCCAGGAAGAATATTTATAATGTAGCAGAGCCAAAAGGCAGTAGGACTTTGTGATTCTTTTTTTTCTTCCTTTGAAATATGAATGAGTTCAGAATTATTTTGACTCCTCAATTTCATGGTATGGTCACAGTGCACTTCAGACACTGCACTTTAAGTTCCCTTGGCCTCGTGTAGCAATGCCAATTTCGATTGAAATTGAAGCTGATACAATAATATGTTTAAATGTGGGATAAAATCATGTAGGGATGGAAATAGGCTTCCAAATTTCTTGGCATAATTGTTAAATGCCAATGTGTTCTATAGGTGTCCTTTCTGAAGCTGGTGAAACATCTCTAAAGAGAGAATGTCCCAGATTCTTTACTACCATCTGTCTGTTTTCAGCTGTAAAGATCACTCTTTTAAAAATTGCTTTCTTAGATTTGGTGGCTAGGCTAGGAAAACTATTTTAAATATTACTTTGGCAAAGTAGCTTTGTGCAGTCAGTAGCAGTCGTTCGACACCCCATGCTAATCAAAGGTCTTGGCTCGTACTTTGCTGCGGGAGTGCTCAAGTTGCTGTTGATTATATTGACACCACAGCTAAGCCTTTCCCAGGAGTGTACTGGATGGTGTGCTAATAAAAATGTGCAGCAAAAAGTTTAAATGCGGTATCTGTCTGTAGGGATTCAAGCATTTCGCAGCTTATTTTTGTATGGGTTCTCAAGAATTTTCTGCACTTCTCCTGTATTAGTGTACACTGGTTTTAAGAGTGCAGAGCAGAGAGATCCCTCTCTCTGTGAGTCAGAGCCTTCCACGCTGTGTGTTCTCAGCAGCTGAAATAAAGGTCATTTTTCATCTATAAAACAATCTTGCCTTTTATGGACCACATCATAATGGAAAGCTATTCTAAAGTCTGCCTGCAAGTTCAAAGGTATTGGACTGTATCTTCGTGTTTGGGTTAGGTTTAGATTAGATATTAGGAGATAATTCTTTGCTGTGAGGGGGGTGAGGCTCTGGCACAGAGAAGCTGTGGACACCCCTCCCTGCAAGTGTTTAAGGTCAGGTTGGATGGAGCTCTGAGCAACCTGGTCAGGTGAAAAGTGTCAGTGGGGTCACAACGAGATGATCTTTAACATCTCCAACCCAGGCCATTCTCTGATGATTTTATGGTTCTGCATTAAGTTCTTTTCCATTCATCCACCGTTTTCTGCAGGAAAAAAAAATGTTACTTATGTTTAACAGAAAATAATTAATGAACATCTGACTGGTACCATATAAAATAGCGCAGAAAAATAATTAATAGAAAGATTGGAAATTCTTCAGGATGTTACACTTAGGAAGTTCAATGTTTCTAAACTTCTGTGAAGGCCAGGAATATCAAAATTCTTAGAACATATTTGAATACCTAATTCAGTATTCAGAGGTTTCTCTGAATTGAAAAGAAGTATTCTCCATACTTGTTTGATTAAAGTAAAATGTTTTTAAAATGATTTGTGTTTTAACATTGAACTTTGTTTTAGCTCTGTGCAGTTGGTTGGAGAAATGAGGTCTGAGATTATGAAATTGTTTTACCATCTTACAGTGCCTTTTGAAACACCTAATTAATAGCCTGATCACACACATGATGCTCTTTAACATCCATCCTTTAAAATATATTCCATGAAGTTCTTTTCTTAAACTGATGTGCAACCACTGCAATTGAGGAGCTCTTTATGTACTTCATCCTGCCCCGTCATAAATTGCTTACCTAAATTGAAAAGTACCTGATTTTTTAAGAAATAGAGAGAACAATATAATTGCTGCAAAGAATGAAGTGGGGGAAAGGTAACATTTCTACAGAATATTGTGGTGTGGGGCTTTAAGTCCTGTGTATCTCCTTTAAAAGAGTGTAATAGTTCATGTTAGCCTCATTCATAGGAATGACCTCCTTGACACTGATGTAGCTGTGGGATTTGGGCTAACACACAGTCATATGTCAAGTTAATTGTGGAGTTAAATGTGGAGGAAAGAACTCAAGAATTCCATTCATCAGATCTAACCCCCACGCCAGCACAGCAAAAAGTCTCTTTTAATATTGTTACAACTTTCTGGTCCATCTATATAATCTGAATTTGAGAAATACAGGTTGTTGGGGTCAATTACTTAAATACTTTGTGCTATTCACTCAGATATTAGGTGTCTGGTATGCTTGTATATACTCCTTGTGGTCTCTGTTGTACTTCATAACACTGGAAAAGAAATATAAAAGACTTTATCGTGTCTCAATAGATATATTTAATCAGAGTCCTTTGGCTCCTGGAAATAAGTTGTCTAATGAGAATTTCATCTGAGCAGCTGTGACTGAGGAGGTCAACAGGCATTGCCTAAGAGAATATGGCCCAGCTGGTTAAATCTGGTTGTTGTAGTGATTTAAATGGTCAAGTGCTGCTTGTAATCCAGGACCGTCTGTTTGTAAAGGGAAGAGTGAGTGCTTCAGCATAATGTACAGCTGTTTTAATCTCTCTTTAATAATAGTGCTACAGCCAGTGTCATGTCTTGTGTACAGTGTGGGAGCAAGGGTGCCTCACACAGGAATATACCTTGGCTATGTTTTTAGCTTTATTTGTAGCCTGAACAGATTACCAACATTACAGGATAAACAACATATTTTTTCTTTTACTTCGTGGTCCAGTATTTCCCATTTTTTTTGTACAGCAAGGCACTCCTGTGTCTTAATTTGCAATGATTTGGAAATGAGAAAATTGTAATTGAAAAAGAAAAGAATGCTACAGATATTTAGAGTTAATTTGAGTATGTAAAGACTTTGCTGACATGTGTTCTCACAAGACAGAAGAGGTCAGAAATGAACAGGTGTCTAATTTAATCAACAACATTAGACTCTAGGGCCTCTTGGATAGCTCGAGTATATTCATCTTAGTTATTCTATGAGCCAAAGGATTGTTTTACTCTCCTTTTTCTTTGGAAGTATCCTACAGTACAATCGAGCATTAAAGCTCTTCACAGCTCAAAAATGAAGAGTTTATGTTGGACAGGACGGTCTGACTGCTTTTCTCTTCTGTCCCCTTTAAGTAAGAGACTCTTCTTTTTAAATATTGCTTATGTTACTTTTGTGAGACAGATTTACAGCCTGAATCCTGTGCTGAGAATTGGCTTCCAGACAACTCTCCCTCTGCAGTTGAGTTCACCAGCAGCCTGCAGGAGCAATCATTAGCAGCACCCATCTTGTCTGCACCAGGAGAGCAGATTTCCCCCTTTCACACGTGGAATGCCAGGCTGGCATTTTGGTCACTGGGCAGCTGGCACTTTGTGAGCTGGAAACTGGGCATGTCACTTGTGCTGAGTGCTAAGCCCTCGTTACTCAGGGCCTGGATTCCTGATTCACTTTTGACCTTGATTCTGAGCAATGTATGCAGGGTCATTTGTCAACCAAGCTTGGGGCACAATTCTAGCACGGGCTTCTCGTGAAGTGCTTCCCATTCTTGTTTCCTCCTTGAAGACCATAGCTGAACATCCAGAGATCAAAGATTTCTGTCTATGCACGGTGGAATAATGAACATCTATATAAAGAGCAGCAGATTCATCAATTTCCATCTATTCTCTGTCATGTGCACCTGTTTGTGCTCTCTCTCTATGGGGGGATGTATGTCTAAATTAAAAATTAAGGGTTCACATGTATTATTAATTCTATATGCAGTGGGGAAAATCTTACTACATTACTCAGTAGTGGTGGTTTTTCTGATTGTGTGTTTTGTTATTTTTTTCCTCTTCATTAGTTAATAATAACTGAACACTTTCTGTTATATTGACTTAAAATAGATTAACACTTCCCCTATAAAGCTTTCTATCATTCCAATAATTATACTGGAATATAATATAATATCAGTATATTGAAGTATTGCACACACAAATCTACAAATTTCCTGCCAATTTCATTGGGGAATTTCCACCTAATTTCATTGGGAAGTAGAGAAACTTAAACTTTCACATACTGTGTTTTATGAATGGACATTGGCAAACAATTTTGGTTGCAATTGCTTATTTTTTAGGCTTTGG